TTTGGAAACATTATGGAGGACTACATGAAGAATGGGTTGGTCTTGAATGGTCAAATTGCTGACAGCTTGTATGGCATGGACTGCCCCATACAAAGTGCAACCGTACAGCCGTGGGGACCTTTGACTTTGACTATGAACTCTTTGTGTGTGGGATTTTCTTCGCTACCAAGCAGACAGGCAGGTCCCGGGACACTTCAGTGTTCATGCATGTAGCATACCCCAAGGACCCGGACACCTTTTTTCCAAGTGAACTCCAAGACCAAAGGACTGGTTGGCTCATGATACATTCGCGCATGGCAGGGCGAGCGGGAAACCTTCATCTCCCCTGTCCTCCGGGGCTGTGGACAGTTGGTCAGCAGGACGACGGATGTATCAGGAATCATTTGGAGAGGCCTTTCTGCTACGAGCTTGGGAGGGCGAGCAAAATCTTCCAGAAACCAGGAGGAGTACATTGAGATTGGGTTGGGCTTGCATGGGTCAAGCTGCATCTCTAATGCTTCAGTGTTGTGATAGTCTGTGAGAGGTTTGTCACACGAGGATCAAGGCAAGAGAACGTGAGTTCAGCATGAGCTCTGATGTTTCACATGTTCCATTGCCTATCTTCTCAAACCACATCTCAGCAAAAGGCATTATATACCCTGTGCTGCAAAATGACATCAAGATCTGTATAGCAAGTAAGACACAGGAGTTCTGCACAACGGGAACCATTCGTTTTCCTTGCATCCCTCTACTTCCGGGAAAGGCTCGAAGGACTACAAGGCGCAGGCAGGACGCTCGCAGGACGACATGGCTGCAACTTGGGACGTAGTCGCTTCGAGGTGGGCGCCCAGACAACCATCAATGGAGGACTGGGTTGAGATGGCTTTTGTTCAGGCATGCGGCATTGTGCATGGATTGCTTGAGCTTTTGAGTTGACATACAGCGCTTGTATCATGTTTCCGATCTGTTCTCCTTCAGATTCAGATCATCATCTTCTCTTGTGTGATAGTACTGTAAGTACATCAACCAATGCAGCCAGCCTTGATTAGTGGTGTTAACCTTTCCCATACTGAGTGCTTTAGGCTGGACTAGTCTCAGATGATCTGTATACGGAGGACATGAGGGCGAACGACGCCCTGAGGATCTGGGGGTAGGTCCTGTGAATGGCCATGGCGGTTGTTCGCCATTTGTTCGATGCCATGCTGCAGGATGGGGCTGGTTTCCAGCGGACCCCGTGTTCCACCTCGTAGCTGTACACCAGGAAACATCCAGCGACTCCAGGACTGCTGCTTTGATGTGACGGCTTCCCTGTCGCTGCCCTCCGGGGCAAAGAGGGATGCATTCATTGTGAGGTGGCTTGGGAGGCTGAGTATCTGCCAGGAGCGTGAAGGGAAACGTCTTCTGGGAACACGGGCTTGAAAACATTGCTGTTGGGCTGATACAGGACCAAACTTCTTGTGGCTTGCTGATGCTTCTAGCATCTGCAGCCAGATGCTGCATGGGTGAGTCTGCCAGATGTTTCTTCGGGCCAGGATATAAAGCGAACATAAGTTCAATCATGTACCATTCTGTGCCTCACAGGCCACGCGTGAGCTGGGCTAAGATCATTACTGGGTCATCATCTACTGCAAAATGAAATCAACATGTTTGCACAACAAGCAAGACACATGGGTCCTGGACAGCAGGAATCACTAATGCTTCTCCTTGTACTTGCGTCAAGTCTTCTGAACCTCGAAGCTGTGAACTCGCTTGAGGGACTACAAGGAGCACGCAGGACGCTTGCATCTATGTGGCTGCAAACTTCGGACGGCGGACTACGAGGTGAGTGGCGAGAGATCAGGAGGACTTCGGGGCGTGGGTGATACTTGGCCAGGGCACTTCCCGAGCGTTTCAGGAGGCATACAGTAAGGCTCCGGCCTTCTTTGGAATTTGTACACCAAGATTGCAGGACTGATGCTCATGACACTCCCTGCCCTCCGGGGCTCAATGTGGGGAGCAGTGAAGTGACTTCAAGGACAGCAGGACAACGTATGAATCAGGCAGCATGGTTGCCCAAGGGATACTTTTCAGCAAATCCTTTTCTTGAAGCTTGGAACGCGGAATGAGTGCATGAACAGAGGGTTGGGCTGTGATGTTTCCAAAACCAAAAGCGAAGCATGGAGAGACATGAGTTCAACATGAGCTTTGATGCTTTACATGTTCAGTTCCTACTACTGAAACGAAATTTCAGCACTGCATCATCACCCTGCTGTAAAGCAAAATCACGATGAGCACAGAAGGTAAGACGCAGGAGTTCTGCACAAAGGCACAAAGGAACCAGTCACTAAGTTCAATTCTCCTTGTACTTGCGTCAAGTCTTCTGTTTCGAAGCTGTGAACTCGCTTGAGGGACTACAAGGAGCACGCAGGACG